CTCCCCGTTGGATGATAACGAGTGAAAAACTACGTGAAGTCTGCCTACGGTAAGACAAACCTAAACGTCGCTGAAAAGAAACATGAATTATAATGCTTCACATAACCTTGTAATTCATCTATTTTGCAAGTACACAACTACTAGCATAGAGGCACAGTGCACTAGAGGTCGACTTTGAACTCGACTCCGGAGATGTCGAGTTTGATTCCCTCGGCGGATCACTGATTGTCTTTACCACAAATTCCCAAGAGTAAGGAATTTACCATTCTTTGCTTCAGAACAGAGTTATTTGGATAAATGAGTGGAAAGGAAGTAGTAGAATATAGGCTAATCTTGTCGCATAGCTGTTGTCGATGCTGCCTTTAACGAAACGGTACTCCTGGCTGAAGACATGGAAATGGCGATCAGCACCCCCACCATTGGCTAGTGACTAAAGGACGCTAGAATTAGCCGGATTATGTGGGTACAAGGAAGGCCGGCATTACAACGGTTCAGAAGGAATTTTCTTTTTCGTCCAACTACATTAAAGATCTATATAAACTGGACAGGAATGTTCGACGCCTGCTTATGTCAAGTTCAAAGTTCTAAGGGCAGAATGCTCAAAAACCTAAGCAATTACGATATGCTAATCTGTACAGACAGACGAGATGAATGTTTCTGTAGCGGAACCTGAAACCCCGGAATAAATATAAAGGTTGCATCGTGCCCATAGTTATCCATTATCCGTTATCTGACTTGTTTTCGTTATGAGTGCTCCATAAACGACGCCCCTCTAACATTTTCTATTTTGCGTTTTCTGTCTCCGCCGCTAACCAAGATATTTGACCAATGCATCGGTCTAGCGTGTTCTTAGGTAACCGATTCGACGTTGGTGGTCATCTGGAACCTATTTTGTAATTCTTGGCATCGTAATGGGCAGAAATCACCTTTATTGAAGCATACCATTGTATAATTTGCGTATTTGGAGCGTGATCGCGAAGGAAAACTTTGCACATTCTTCGTTACATCGCTCTTTGCGTGATCCTCAACTTTAATAACAGACAAACATTCTGCCCCGTAGGCCCGGCATCACTGTTTGTTGAAAAGGAAGGCAATCTAAATTTTGTTTAGAATTTACCGAAGTCATAATCAAGCAATCTACTTCCGTGACAGATGGCTGTCATTTCTTACCTTTCAGCACAGGTTCTACCCGGATTTGGCCAGCTCAGACCAAGGAAGAAAAGCAGATTCCATTGATGAAGTCTTCATACTTTCGAGTGAGTGCTAAAAATGGCAAGAAATTCTTGATATGAATCACTGCCGAATGTACAGATCGACAAGCACTTTGCACAAGCAGAGGATATAAGGCAAACAAGCAGCATGACAGCAATGACAATGAGAAGCGAAAAAGTTTGATATGCGAAGAAATATGTCTTTTCTGAATGTTTCTGTTTTTTTCTGAATCTGGACGAAAGGAACCAGCCGATAAATTCGTAACAGAGCACACAAAACGGTTAAAAGTGGCCGTGAGATTGGCAAAAAATCCAAATCAATTATCGCCTGAAAATCACTTATGAGCGCAACTGCCCTTGCGTCTGAAAGCCGTATCGTAAGTCTAACCGTATTTTCTCCTAGTAACAACATTATTACCACGGATTAATTTCCTGACCGTTCAGTCAGGCTGTACATTTGCATAAAAATAACTGTAAATAACTGATAACTATAAAATTGTTGATAGGCGAATGTTGTTTGTTTTTTAATACTTATTTATATATTATGTTATGTGTTATGTTTGTGTATATATAGTGTTGCTAATATAGATAAGCTTTTCATAAAACCAGCGTTGTTTCTGACATCGCTGGAGACAGCAACGTAAAATGTGCGGTGTCACAAGTTAACCCGAACTCCCCAAAGCGTATTTCCTTTAAGCCTGAGGACCTATCGTTAACATTAAGCTTAAACATACCATTCTTAAAGTTAACTAGAATGAAACAAACCTGTTTAAAGGGGCACTCTGCTACTGACGCTGAAAGAAGACTGGAAAGCTATCATCAGTCTTACTGTAGGAAGAGAGCATAGCTTTCGATGTGCTGCCAGGCCCTGAACGAAGGATATCACGCTCATGAGCTAAGCTCAAAGAGAGGAAGGTAATGTTCTTTGAATGACATAGGAACATAAGAAAAAGAGCATGACAGGCTTTTCTTTAATCATCAAGACCGTATAAGGTGCAGTGTAATAACGCTCTACTGTGTTAAACTGAAAGTCATATATGTCGCTCCTCCACAACGGAGTGTGCTTTAGCTGCTACACACAACAGAATCATGCCTCATATGAACAGTCGTTCGAAAAGATCTTATTTCTGCCTGCTCTTATCCAGGATTCCGCTCTGTCGAACAATATTCAACATTCATTACAACAAACTAAGGTTGGTGTACATCATATCTGATGATAGACAGTTTTGCACTGCACTTTGCCTTTGTCTTCGTTTTCACGGACCGTTTTTGCACCAACAGTCTGCAACTGCTTATGTTTCTTCGCTATGCATTCGGTCACTCGTCAGTGCTATCTCTAGGTGCAGAAACTTCTCTATCTGCGTTAATTACACTCCATTTACCTGTGGACTCGCTGAGTGGCTTTTCTTAAGGACGCAAAGTTGTTATGTTACTCGCTTAACATTTATCTACGCAGATGTTAAACTGCACTGATAATAAAGGCTTGTTCTCATTATACTGTTAAACCCTCTGTTCATTTCTTTTATTGGCCTGATTGACCATTAATATATCTAATTGAACTCTTGGTTACAGCACGTTTGTGGTTTCAAAAATGGGTTTATCCCATATTCATCTAACATATACATATAAATGAGTTGCTCTCTTCCTGTCTGGCACTGGTATGTTTAGAGTCTGAAGAAGCCTAAATGGGGAGACGTTGACTTGGCGAAGATGAACTGTATCAAGTGCGTCATCGGGTCGACGACTGGTTGCGCTCTGTACCTGGCGTACAAATACAGCGACGGTTTGTAGCGTTATAGAACACAAATTAAGCTAATTTTAAATCTGTTAACGTTGAGCAGTAATTAACTAAATTAATTTGAAGGAATTTTGGTTTTCAGAAAAGTTTTTGGAACTGGCTTTCTGCACTGCTTGGTTTACTGGTTGAGCCGGCTCCAGTGACGTCCTGCATCGCTACTTTTTACCTCAGGCCATCAGACCATCAGGCTAGTGTCGGTCATTAAGTTCAGCCAGCCATTTTTTCACTGTGTGTACCCGTATACTGCTGACCCACACAGAAAGTCAACTTCAGCTCTGTCTTTGCCCCACTAGGTCTTAACATACCCACTTCTTTTCATGTGCCATTCAGGGATCGGGTCGCGTTCAATCTAATGAAGATGATATCGTTTGTTAGAAGCCGCAGTACCCTTCCTTTCGCTAAGGACAATACAGAGTTGGACCATGTTGCACTGAGTACGGATTGTAGCGTTGGATATATGGTTGATAAAGCGTGTCCAAGGATCCAAACTGGTCTTTGTCAATTACAGACACAGTCATTTCACTGCAGGAGTGTCTGTCGAAAAAACCGTGTTGCAAGACAGCGCAGTCATGAGCCTGGCCACGAAAGAACAGACGCTTGAGCAAAACCAAACTTGCAGCGTTAGAGGCTCGATTCTCTAGGTCCCTGCGGACAAAAGGCTGCAGTTTCATTCAGTCAGTCAATTTCGATGACCGTAAATCCTTTCGGGTCCCAGAGGCAGCCACGTCAGACACTCTCCCCATGGTTCCCGATTATAGCATTTTAGCGTCGGCAGATGATGAGCCTAGCCTGGGGCAGAATCCTTCTATAAACTTGCCTAAGGTTATTCTTAGCCGTCCCAAGGTTCTATGGCCGGTCGGATGTGCAAGTTGTAGCAGTTTCGCTATCCTTTCTGAAAGCTGCCAGAAATCGTGAAGCATGTACTGAAAGTCGACTTTTCGCAGTTTGTCTCGATTCCCCCAACAGCCTGGTGGCCCTTCGTAACCATGCCGGCAACCTTGCCGGTATGGCGTTCGATGATGGCAATACCATGACTGACAGGTGGCTAAGTTTTAATGGACACTTTGTTGCGGACTCGATACATCTTCCTTTCCCATCCGGACCTGGGACCGGCAACTGCGGAGTTGCTGCTGCAGCCTGTTACGGTAAAATCAGTTGATTGAAGTAATTCACTAGTTCAGTCCTTTGATGGACAACAATGAGACAGCCAAGTGCATTGTGAGTAGATTTTAAGACAGCTGAATGAGCCCTTTTGTGGATTGTGGAGATTTCTCCAACAAAGTGGGTCAGGATAAAATGGCGGCTGTTTTTTTAGGCCGTACCCTTTGCCTATAAGTGCACTATATTGCCAGCTATCCGGTGTGTCAAACTGAATTTTAGCCGCTAAGGTGCGCTCGTATCGGCAGTGTGGCCGTACACCTCCAGCATTCTGGTACGATGATCACCCAGGATGGACGCGCTTCCCCGAATATTCACAGGTCAGCTCGTCAGCCCACTCTGTCCATTGCACAGAAGTAATTTGGCGTAAATTACTTGCTGAACATAATTCGTGGTTAAGACAGAAATAGTCTCTTCCCTGGGCCTGGGTTCGAGCCCGGTCTGCTGATCGAAGCCGATTTCTTTGCCACTGTGACGTGCACTCCTAAAAAAGGTGGCCTACGGTCTTCACGCGAAGGTGGCGATTTAATTAGAATTCTTGGGCTTCTCTGGAAAATTCTAACTCCTATAAGTCTAAATTTTAAGTGATCCATCTGCTCTTGACCGTTTGCTACGTGATGCGCTGTGTTATACCTTCCGTACCAAATTTCTTTGAATATGAAATTACTAACGTTACTATTGACGGAAGACAATTTTATCAAAAGAGGCTGGTGCAGTATTGAAGAAGTGGTTCAAGATTATAACGGTTCCGATTTTAATCATGATTTTGATGAAAAGTACTGTTCTAGAATATTTTAATCCTGACCATCATTTTCAAAAATAGCCTCAGTATTAAACGCGTCGAGTTTCAACTTTACTTAATGAATGACGTTGGTAGAAAAATTTGTCCACTGCACGTATGCTAATTCGAATATTATTAGAATAATAGTGCGGCACTACGTAACTACTGCTGAAGGAAGCGACTGCAGTTTAACCTCATTGCAAAAATACAGAAATAACGAGAATGAGAGAATTTCAGTCTTTAATTATAAGGACGGGTGGAAACATCATTAACTGGCTCATTGTGGATGATGAATTCGGACATCCTGCCTTCGTCCAAATTGCTAAGAGAACTAATGAGACCTAAAATCAGTTGTTTATTTTTCAGACAGCGATATCATCGATGAATTAGAATTGAAATATATTGTGAATTCAGAAGGACAACGGTTTAGTGCTACCAGAATTCATGTCTGTTGCTCTTCTGCATTGATGAACGAACGTTTCGTCGGGTCTCGAACGCTCCGCTTCGATTATCAACATATTTCCTCAGTACCTTAACTGTTTTTCCCTGCCTAGATGATGTTTAATGGCCTTGTAACTCATCGAACAAATTTGTGTTTATACACAGTTTATAGAAGATCGATTTAGCTTAGCTTACGGTTCTGTGGGTAGTAGTTAAGACTCTAGGTATTGGTCATCGCCGTATTGTCCCCTTCCGATAGGAACGGGATAGGTCTGACAGCTGAATTCGCTAGCCAGTTGAAAGCCGAAGTGAAATCAGAATATCGACGTTTCAAATTCCGGTTACAGTCGGTGACTCGTAGGGCCATTTTTCGGCATGGAAAAATGAATATCATTGTGTTAGACTGAAGCAGGGGATTTTGCGCTTGGCGTATTGCATAGTTAATATTATTTTCATAAGTCAGCAGTTCCTGATTTATGCCATCATAAACTGAGCATCGCACCCTTAAATGCATTCACGATTAAGGCTACTAATGGCGAACTCCATGGAGATGGAGTGCCTGATGTATAAGCCGATCTTTCGTTTCTTCCACATTCTATTTGACCAACGTTTGAGTGCTGAATATTGTTTGAACTGCGGGAATCAGTGGCTGTCGCAAAAAGTTGGTAAAGAGCTGTCTGGTTGGTCATAAAACCCTGCTCTCGATTGCATAGCTGAATCACTTATGAATGTATACTTTTTTAGGTTTCACCAACCCTGACTCCAAAGCCGCACTGGCTTCTTTTGCCACTCTCTTCGGTTTACACATTCTTTCGATTCCATTCACCATTTACTATCGAAAACTACCGCTGGTACATTGTGTCATGCCTCCTCACTGTCAGTTTTCAGTAATGGGAAATTTTCAGTTTTCGGCGTTGGGTGTTGTCGGCACAGCTGCTTCCGTGTGCGCCGCAGTGTCCTTCTACAAGATCCATCCTTTAGCCGGATGGCTTGCCGCACCGCTGACCATATTGGCGGCATATTCCACTGCCTTGATGTTGGCCATAACGTTTGACAAGGAAAACAGACCGAAGAACAGCGACTGATATCGTCGAAGTCCACTTCTGCAGTCTTAATCGTGCAGATTAGCAGTCGAAGAGTGTTTGAAAAGGGATGTTTCGTATGTTTCGAAAGTAAAATGTGCTGAACTCAGCGTACTTTTATGTAAAACAGCTTGATGTTTAAGCCACAAGATGAAAAAGGAAAGCAAAACATATAATGTCCTCAGGTCTCACAGATAATGGTCCAAAGCACACGAGCGTAAGAAAATAATTAGTCCCGTTTGTAACACGCAATGCCTTATACTCTGAGGCTCAGCAGTTCTTGCTTGCAGTACTGCTGGGATTTTCTCGATGAAGAGACATCTTAGTCAGCGTCCCGCAGATTGGTGACGCGTGAAGATTTTCACATTAGACTAGATAAGATATATTTCACATAACGCATAGCGATATTTCTCCAAAAAACAATTTGTTTGCGTCATGCAAACAACGAGCTGGGCTAAACTTTTAAACTCTAGTTTGAATTCGGGAGCGAACTGCACATTTTGTCTGGATGATTCCGAAGGATTTTGCCCTCTTCTATAGTTCACTTCGAGGATTGTACTTCAGTTCTGCGTTCTCAAGGGCGCGATGATGCATCGGCAATAGGTCGGTTTTATACTCATGAGGTACCGCGTTCGAATTCGAAGATATGATACATTTGCTTTTAACCACTAATTCCACTGAGTGAGGAATTCGCCCAGCGCTGCTTCAGCAGAACTAACTTGAACCAGATAGTCAGTCACTAACGCACGAACAGTATAGAAAGCTCGATGTTCTGGAGTGGTTACTAAATTGGGCCACGGGAGGTACGGCTGAGCAATCTGACGCCAGTCCGTCGATTATGAACTGCAGTTCGCCTCAAGGTGTGTGACACATATGGTTGATATATCTTGCGGTGTGGGAAAGCTTCTTATAGATAGATGTGCTTGAGATATCTTCGAAGAATGAACATAAGATTGCTCAAAGAGTTAAGAGAAAGAAATTATTCGAATATTTTACTCTCGAGTGGTGTGGAAAGGTAAACTGTAAGCTGAACAGAACGAATACAAAACCTCATTCCCTCTCCAATCAGTCCACTCTATAGCAACCCTCAATTGGTGAAAGAATACAATTCTTGAAGAAATCTCGTTACTCGTTAAACATAGAGAATACTGTTTATAAAAGTTGGATCCTAACACAACAGGAAACCTTTTAGTGGTGCATCGCCTCAATCGAACTGAGACGCCACCTGTGTCAAAGAAACTAAACGAAAGCAGGTTACTGGAACACTTGGCTTCATATGCATGGCAGAGGAAAGACGTTCAATTGCAGACCACAGCAACCTAATGAGTCGTGTCATCCAACAGCAATCTAACAAGAGAGGCAAAAGAAAAGAGAAGAAGAAGAAGGAAGATGATGTAAGACACTATAGCGGCACAAATCTGCAACCAAATGTATAGGTGGAAAGTAGCTTATTCGATTAATTCAGTTTGGCCCTCTCCTGTACCGTTGTGTACCTTCTTCGTGCTCAATCTTACAATGTCTGTCAAAACTAGATCCGTAAAACTTTCGAACTGAAGCAATAAAACCTGCTGCAGAAGGCTGGTCGGAAGAGACAAACTTTGACTTTTCTTTCAGATGGTTAATTACAATGAGATATGGATTGTTTCGAATCTTGCTCAAGATCAGACAGTGGTCGCAGATTCGCCAATCCGCAATTTAACCATAAATCAATGCTCACGGAGCTCAAAACATTTCCATCTTCCATCATCTTCATCTTCCATCGCCGCTTCTCCTTTCGGGTCAAGGAGGCAGACACGTCAGGCAGAGCCTCCAACCTTCCCTAAACTGTGCCAGAGTCTGAGATTCGGCAAAAGACAAATGGAGTCCGCAACAGACTCCTATATGTTTGCAACATGTTAATCCTGGACGTCCCCTGGGCCTTTTGCCGGTCGGATTTGCAAGGAACAGTTGCTTAGCCTTCCTTTCTGGAGGCAT